TGCGAGAAAATGGTCGCCAAGGTTTTGTAACTTCTATAGCTTGAGAGTCCTTGAAAACTGAAAATTTACATATTTTGTGTTATAACCAAAGTTGTTCAGTAAAATTCACACGGAAAAGTAGTTTTATGGACGTGTAATGTGTTGAGTCCAAAAGATATAAAAATTCGACAAAAATTGCCAAACTTGAGGGGGAAAAATGTCTGTTTCTTCGATTTTATTGTTTTAACGAGCGCCTGATTTCACCATGATGCCTCACAAAATTATTTAGTGTGATTCTGTACCGTGGCCGACGTATACAGGGCGCACTATCGGCTCTGTTGGTGTCATTCTAGATAAATATAATAATTATATATGCTGATAACCCGGGTGAATCTGCCTTCAAGCTTTGAACATACAGGTTGTTTGAGGCAGTTTGGGATTCCCATTGGAAGTGGACTTATGAGATAGTATGAAGGAGGTTTAATGGTAGCGTCCAGTTTTGATATCTGATATTTTCTCTTTATAAGTAGGCTATAAAAGCTTTTTAGAAAAATGTATTAGTATAATGTTATTTTATGCTGGATTTAACAGTGACCATTATGTTAGAGCCGGGGTCCACAGCGTCAGCACTCACACTTTATCACGCTTCATCACAAATTGCGTACATTAACGTAGCGGGTAGCCCATGTCCACAGCGTCCTCACACGTATGTCAATTCTTTTTTGCGCACCAGACCTAGATCTAGAGAAATGGCGCAATGAAGCAGAATTTTTTTTTTTTTTAAATGGTGGTGGTTGAAGAGGAGGTATATGCAAGGTCACCGCCGATTCTGGGTACATCCCATATGCAAAGAACGAGGCAAAGCAGGAGAATTTAGAATGTTGCACCAAATTCTTGATGGTAACGAACCATGCTTTGCATATTAGTTTCGCATGACGAAGGCAAGCTTCCAAAGCCTTTTGGAATTATGTGGACTACATATTAAAAAACAGAATACGAACTGGAAGAAGGCCATTCCACCAATTGAAAGGCTGACAGCTACACTGATGTAAGATATTGCTGCTGCTGCTGCTGCTGTTGCTGCTGTTGTTGTTGTTCTTTTTTTTCGCTGTTGTCATTGTAGTATATGACCTACGTAAAAGGTCTCTACCGTATCCGTCATTTAAGTAAGAGTCCACTCTATGTCTCCCACAGAGCGTGTTCTTTTCAGGCACATTTGTTTACTTTGAAAAATGTGAGCAAAAATAAATTAATAACAAAACGACTATTGAAATTCAGAATAACAAATTCAATAATTAACAATGATGTTGATTTATTGACTGTTCTTAAATCAACATGTCAAACGAAGAAACAAAACAACCCCCCCCCCCAAAAAAAAAAAAAAAAAAAAATCAGTCTGAAGACTGAGAATACTGAGATCATCAAAGACAAGTGGCATTAATTTAATGTTAAAGGTAAAGTGGGAAAACAAAAGACAATCAACGAAATCAGTGTCGGTGAAGCCACAGCGCGTACGGAAAATATTTGACCTGCCACTGCCAGACGTCTTACGTTTTTCACGTAAGCGTGAGGAAGCGTGTCGCCCGCAGTGGGCCCAGGTAATATAGAAATAAAAGGTTGAACACTTCCATACACACTTTGTGAGTACGCAAGCGTACGCAAGCGGAGTATGTGGGCCTTGGCTCTTACCAGGTGGATTCAGCAAGTATGTATCACTCGGATCATTCCACTAAAAGCTGGTCGCGTGACATTAATTAGTGGGTGGTTAGCGGGTGTGCTGGTACGGATTGCTCCTTCTTTCCTAACATCTATTGTCCTCAACTTTTCTTTTTTGTATTTGTTACTTGCTTGTAACACCTCTAGTCTTCAGCACATATGGCCTGATTTTGTTGCAAGAACTTTAAAACGCTTACTAAAAACAAAAAATAAATGACACCATATTGTGTGAACCAAGTTTATGTACAGTCCCTCATGTACACAGGGAAAAAATTTTCTGGTCCTAGGTTGTTGTTTTTTGTGTTTTTTAATGCATATTATATGCATGTTATATTCCAAGAATGTATTTGAAATACAAAAATGTAGGCCTGTGAACAAAACAAAATTCTTAAACATGACAAAAGGATTTGGCATCCCTCTGATTTCTCCATGTGCATGCTCGACTAATTGTATCACTCAAATCATTCGACGCAAAGCTGATAAAGTTAATCTGTGTGCACTATCCTAATGGTCTCGGGATCTTGAAGACAGAGAGTGGGTGGTTGGCGAGTGCCCTGGTGTGGTTAGCTCATTTCCTGTCAAACATCTATGGTCTTTATCTTTGCTCTTTGTGTTTGTTATTCCCGTGTAACACATCTAATCTCAAAATGAGCCAGGCCGAGATGGAAGCGAGAAGAAACACAACGAAGTATAGTCTCGCTCAAAGCTTACAAGATTCACGTGGGAACCGTTCATAGTATGGCCATTTAAACAGAAATATCTGTTGTATGGGTGAATTGCAGGGAAATTATTTTCGTGTGATGATCAAAACTTTTAGTGACAATGGTTTTTGAAAGTTGGTTCTCTTTTCCAAATTTGGCTCGTCTTTAGAAAGGAAAATTTGAAATGTGGCAAGTTTCGTTGGTGTATTTTAAGCAGCGTTTCTAATCTGAACATACTTAATAAATGAGATTTCGTCATATTATAATTTAGCGCGACGTTGGTGGATTTTGTGCCGACATTTAAGAAAACGCGCCTGAACTTGAGGTAACCATTAATGAGCGTTTAGGTTTTGTTGGTCATTTGACATTAGAAAACCCACATGCAAAGAACTGGGAAGGTTAAACAGTGATTTTCTAAAAACCTTGTTTTAACCGTTTACAGATGAAAGTGAGTAAGTAAAAGTGAATTTAAAAAATATTTATGCAACTTTTTAATGTGTTATCCTGCCTCAAAAAAGACACTATCATTGCTTGAGTGTAAGTAAACGGAAGAAAACGAAAACAAATACAAACACCATACACGGATTTGTTTCCTATATTTTTAATGCAAAAAAAAACCAACCCAACAAACAAACGTTGTCAATGGAATATATTATGACAGCAAAACTTTCAATGGAATACAATGTATATGACAGCAAAACTTGTCAATGGAATTGGAATACGACAGCTTTGAGAAACCTTAATTAAGCGGTATAGTAGTCAACGCTAAAGTCAGCTCTGCATCCATCGTTGACCCACATGGTATTGCCCACAAAACCAAAAGAGGTTCCGAAAGTGCAGGCAGCTGTGGACTGTTGCTTGGCCACTTGCATGGAGTAGATGCAGGAGGCGGAGGAGAGCATCTTGGTGGCGTGCTGGTAGTTCCAGCTGCTCACGTTTACCGTAGTGGTGCTGCTGATGCCTGGAAACCACACACGGAAGTGTAGATAATGTTTCTATACCACAAAAGCCTATTCATTCAATACAAAATCTAACTGATATCTGGTCCATAGCTCATTGAAAGAAAAAACAAAACAAAAGCAAAAACGCTGAGGGAACTTAAATGGTTGTATGGTAGGCTACTTTGTTTTGGTAACCAGCAATCTAATTGTATCGACATCGTAAAAAAGTGCGCGGCTTTGATATTTTCCCCCAAAAGTGCGCTGCTCTGATGTTCTCCCAGATTTTCACTAGAAGCCACAACAAGAGTCTGGGCACTCTGGTTTGTTTACACGTATAGGTGTTCTCCCCAGCCCCACAAGAAAAAAACCCACGTAATGTCCATTTATGGCGTCGGTGGCCTAGTGGTTAGGCTCTCGGACTCGCAACCGTAAGGTCGTGGGTTCGAATCCCGTCAGGGGCCCGACGTTGTGTCCTTGGGAAAGGCACTTTACACGAATTTTCCTCACTTCACCCAGGTGGGAATGGATATCCGGCTATAGACAGCGAAAGATATTGTCAGTTTGTTAGTGTTTGAGCGCTTAATCGGCTGCTTGCACTGTATGCTTCTCGGGAAGCTGAGAATGTTTCGGAGTGTTCTATGGTCTGCTGGGGTAATAATATTGTGTAAAGCGCACAGAGCCTGCTGTTGAGCGGGGATATGCGCTATACAAATGCTATCTATTATTATTATTATTATTATTATTATTATTATTATTATTATTATTATTATTATTTTCCTAAACCCATTTAATATTTTACTTTGAATTCTGACATAATATTCATCTTTTATTTTTTGCAAATAGGGACAATTGTATGACGTTCTTTAGCATTTGTATTCCCATTGTCTTAAGTTCTCAAGGTTTCGGAAGATGGACGAATTATTTCCCCTGCCCATCTGGAACCCCCTCCCCCTTTTAGTGCTTTTTTACTTCCGTGTTTACACTCCAGCCATCGAATTTCAGTCGTTCTGTTTTTAAACTTTACAAAGTCGTTTTATTTGTGAACTTGTGCTGTTTAGTAAACACAACGACCATGTGCTGAAGATGATAGTGCGAGCCAAGATAGTGCGGATCTAAGCAATCTAAGGGCGATAACAATAGAGAACGCTGAAACTTAAGCGGCTGAAGATCGACGCGGACAGGCGCCAGACATTGAGGGCGCCTGAAGCCAAGATCTAGATATAAGAAAGAAAAAAAACCCCACAGCTGGTATTTATGAAGCATTTAATATATGGGGATAAAAAAACTCGAAATTCCTAAAATATAGCCTAAAATGTAATTCTGCTCGGCTGCCACCCTAATTTGAAGACGCTGATTTTAAAAAATGTAATTAGTTTTCGTCTACCGTGAAGCTCCACCTCTGAAATGGCCATTTAAAATTGTCCCCTGTCCAGTCCGGTGACGTCACGCAAACTGCTCAACCCGAGTGGGCGACGGTGAGACGGCATGAGTTCGCGACCTCAGTGCTTTCTTGTCGCATCTCCATTTCTCCATTTTTAATAACTGTGAAAGCAGTTCACAACAAAGAGTGAGCTTTAGAAGAAATCACGTTTTACTATTAAAAAATGGAAATAGGACAAGAAATCACTGAGGTCACGAGTTGACAGCGAGACGCCCTTCCCAGTTTTTCGGCGTAATAAGAACGTAGTTTGGATACCGATAAAGCCGACAACGCCGATCGGTTCTTAAAGCCTCCAGCAGTCTGCCAGCTGTATGTGGGGCAAGTTGGAAATCATAAGGGAACTTTTATACCTATCGGCGCTTACTGAGTCAGTCTCCGAAATCGGCGTTCTCTTTGTTTTCGCCCTAAGACAAATTAATAATCTGTGCAAATACATGCAAGTCATGTTGAAACTGAATACATTTCTCAGTTTGCATTTTTCAAATTTAAGAAATCTTTCGCACTAAAACCTCGCTTCTAAATATTTTTTTTCGAAATCTAAAGCGCGGAATACCCAGTTGGTAGCAAAAATTCTAAATGTCCAAACTACGATATATTCTCAGTTCCAGCGAGTTGCCTCACATCCTGTGAAGGTGTTTGCTTAATTAACTAACATCTCAAACCTACCTTTCATATAACAGACATTGAAGTCGGCACGACAGCCATAATTCACCCACACTATGGATTTCTGATTGTCGAAGCCGAAGGATTTATCCAGATCGCAACTGGCCTCGGACTGCTGATCTTCAACGGTCATGTTGATGAACAGTGCAGCCTTCTTCACCTTCTGCTCGGCGTACTCATAGTTCAAACTTTCCATCGTAAGTACTTTGCACTTGGTCGACCTCACTGGGGAGTCAGAAATGACGAGGATAACGAACTACACATTCTCTGAACGACGTTAACATTTCTTGAAAAGGTCCGGCATAATCTATATTTTTCTCAACTAATGAACATTAATTAGGAAACGTTGCTGGGAAAGAAAAGTGAACAAAGCCTTTTGAAGAAATAAAATAAGCTTCGTCAAGCACCTTACATTTTGCTAATCACAACGAATCAAGTGTTCTTACCGGAGACATGTGGGTTGTTGGCAGGTGGTGATCTTGTGTGGTTTGCATCTTTCCTAACAAACATCTGTCGTCTTCTACTTTCTGGCGGGTTAGTTAATTCTCTTATAACAATACTCCGCACTTATTACATTATGTCGCAAGTGTAATAAAACTTACTAAAACTTACCTGGGAGATAACAAACTTTGAAAGCAGCTCGACAGCCATGATTCACCCACAGGGTAGCTTTCTGGTATCCGAAGGATTCACCCAGGGTACACTCAGTCGCGGACTGCCGATCTACGACCGTCATGTTGAGGACCCATGTGGCGTTTTCCACAATCTTCTCGGAGTACTCGTAGCTCCAACTTTCCATCCTGATTACATTGCACACGTCCGGACCCTCTAGGGAGTTAAAAATGTGGAGAGCAATAGAGGTGGAGGGGCAACAGAAAAACAAAAACATCAAATTAATTTTGGCATGAAATGAAGAGGTAACATGCAATGATCTATATTATTTATTTTACAAATTTCTATATTTTTTTCAACCAAGACGTATTCATATTTTTTTTATTATGAGAAAGAAAAGCAAACAGCTTTAGTGTGAAGAAGCAAGTTGTCAGTATTTTGCAATTTGACCCCCAGCTTTTCATGATGTGATATTATTATACCATTCTGTCAGTTCCAAATAGCAAGACTCTGCGTTGTGCTAACCGTCTTAGTGGCACTGCTGAAGTTAGTAAAACAGTAGACGACATAGCATTTGACCAATTTCCCCTCTATCTAAAAATTGGTGTACTTCCAGCCACCTTTTTTTCAAACAACTTTGAAAAGATATTGGCAACTCAACACTAACATAATTCTATACTTTTCTTTCGGTAAACTCTATTCTGTAAACGGACCTCTTAACTGCATGTTAAAATTCTAGTTTTCCAAAAGGTACTGACCGCACGCTTGTGTCGCAGTCAGGACGGAGAAGAGGACGAGAACTACAGCGGCGCTCATCTTGTCTTGTTTGTTTTTTGTTGTTGTTTTTTTCCCCTTGGGCTTCATTTGAGGCCTTTATTTTATTTTTTGGGGTTTTACAACAAAAATATAACACCACA